ACATGCCGGGAGCTCCTGGTGTCACCACATCCAAAGGGCTCCCCGTGTGACCACATCCTGGGAGCTCCAAGGGCCCCCATCTCCCAGGAGCTCTTGGTGTGACCACGTCCCGGGAGATTCCGGTGTCACCATGTCCCAGGAGCTCCTGGTGTCACCACATCCCAAGGGCTCCCGGTGTGGCCACATCCCGGGAGCTCCTGGTGTCACCACATCCCAAGGGCTCCTGGTGTGGCCACATCCCGGGAGCTCCTGGTGTCACCATGTCCCAGGAGCTCCTGGTGTCACCACATCCCAAGGGCTCCCGGTGTGGCCACATCCCAGGAGCTCCTGGTGTCACCACGTCCCAAGGGCTCCCAGTGTGACCGTGTCCCAGGAGCTCCCAGTGTCCCCATGTCCCAGGAGCTCTCGGTGTGACCCCGTCCCTGTCCCTGCCGGGCCCTGGCTCAGCAGAGCCGCCGCTGGTGCCAGAGCTCCTGGACGCGCGGGAAGGGCAGCGCGGGGCGCAGGGGCCGGCAGAGCGCGGGGTCGGCGGCGCGGCCGGAGCGCAGGGCGCAGAGCAGGGCGGCCTTGCAGGGACCGCCGCAGGGCTCGCGGGGCGGGGGCCCCTTGTGCAGGGGGAACTGCCCCTTGTGCAGGTGGAACCAGAAGAGCCGGAAGAGCGGCTCGTCGTCCTGCATGCGCCGCACCAGCCGGTCCCAGTCGGCCGGGAAGGCCGCGGGCAGCCCGTAGGCCTCGCGTGCGCCGTAGAGCCGCCGCCAGCGCGGGGCGGTGCCCGGGGGCGCCGCGTTGGCCTCCGTCAGGTTGAGGATGAAGGTCTCGTGGTCCAGGACCGCGTGGGAGCTCCCGGGGTAGGAGCCGGCCACCTCGTAGACGCGGTACCCTGCGGCGGGAGGGACGGTCAGCACCGGGGAGCGGGGTGCCGTGGGGGGGCACACGGCGGGGCTCGGGGCGCACCGGGGTTGAGGTTGATGTAGGTGGTGACGCTCGGTGCGATGAAGGCGATGGAGACGGGACGTGACAGCGTCTCCTCATCGTAGAACAACTCGAACTCATCCAGGTGTGTGTGCCCAAAGAACTGCGCTGCGATGGTGCCCTCGAACCTGTGGGGTGAGCGGGGGTGGCATCCCCAGACCCCAGCCTGGAACCCCAACCCTGGCCCTCGGTCTGGCGTGTGGTGTGGGGGCCCAGGGTTCACGGGGTGGGGGTCCAGGGTTCATGGGCTGGGGGTCCAGGGTTCATGGGGTGGGGGTCAGGCACAGGGAGCAGGCAGTCTGGTGCAGGGGATGGCACACGGAGAGAGAGCCCAGGGTGTGGGGTGAAGTCCAGTGCAGAGGTCCAGCATATGGGGCAGGGGTCTGTTGTGTAGGGCAGGGGGATCATTGTGGGACGGGAGTTCAGGGTGTGGAGCCAGGCTCTGGTTGTGGGGTGGGGGGTCTGGTGTGGGGGTCGAGGGCACATGGACAGGGGTCCAGCACATGGGGATGGAGGCCAGGGCACGGAATGGGGGTCTGGCAGGTGGGGTGGGGCACACGGTCGGGGGTCTGGCACGTGGTGCAGGGTCTGGGCAGGGGTCAGGCACCGACCTGCTGACGATGCGGTAGTAGTTCCAGCTCCAGCTGCGCAGACAGTGGGCTGGGGGGATGTGCCCGATGATGTGCACCTGTGGGCAGGGAGCCAGGGCTGGAGGTTTGCCCGGGGCCCACCGGGACCCCCTGTGTCCCCCCAGAATCCCCCCACACCTTCTCCCCATCACGCTCAGCATCTGCCAGGACCCCCATGAGCCACTGGAGCTGCCCTGCCGGGTCAGTGGCGTTGATGAGGAGCCAGAAGTTGGCTTGGGAGCAGAAGTTCATGTTGAGGGAGACGAGGCGCAGCCCAGGCCAGACCTGTGCCGTGTAGAACCCGCCAGCCCTGTGTGGAAAAGGGGGGTCAGTGCTGCGTCCCCTGAGCCACAGACACTGCACCCATCCCAGGGACCCCCAGCTCTGCCACCCACACTGCCCACCCACTCTACAGCCCCCAGCCTGGAGCCCCCGTTACCCCACAGCCCTCGGTGGACCCCAGCCAGCCATGACCCCCCTCTTTGCACCTCTCCCCCCAAGAAGCTGAGACATTTGCACCCAGCTCCAGCTGGCCTGGTACCCCCACGGCCCCTCCAGCACGGAGACCACGCTGTGTCCTGCTACCCTGAGCCCCCAATAGCCCGGAGTGCCCCTCTCTGAGCCCCCAGTCTGTGCTACTGCAGCTCCCCGAGCACCGACAGCCCAGAGCCCCCCAGTCTGGAGCCTCCAGCCCTGGGTCCCCTGAACCCCCACACCGCACGAAGTCCCCGAGCAGAGCGAGCCCCCGGGCCGGTGCCCACCGCAGGGTGCGCAGGGCGGCGGGGGGCAGCCAGTGCTGCCAGGCCTCGGCCATGGCGTCGTACAGCCAGGCGGCCGAGCGGTTGCCGCGCACGTAGGGCGGCGGGAAGGCGTTCACCGGCGTGGCCTCGTGGTTGCCCACGGCGGGGAAGACGCGCAGCCCCCCGAGGCGGGCGCGCAGCAGGGCCGTCACCGTGCGCAGGGCGCGCAGCTGGTCCCCGCGGCTCTGCTGCCACACGTCGTGCGCCGGGATGTCCCCGGTCCAGTACGCTGCCGCGAAGCCGCCGGTGCCGTTGCCGGTGCCGTTGGGCAGCTGGGCCAGCAGCGCGTCGATGGTGTGCAGGGGAAGGTCGCACTTGCTGTAGCTGCCCCAGAAGCCCGCCTGCCCCGGCCCCTCGCCGGGCGCCCCGCGGCAGCACAGCGGGTCGGGGCAGGCGGCGGCGCTGCCCGGCGCGTACTGCCGGTCCCAGTGCAGGTCCGTGAGGAAGAGGATGCGGGCGGTGGGCGCTCCGGGCGGCGGCGGCGCGGGGGGCCGCACCGGCGGCTTGGGGGCGGCGGGCAGGGACAGGTTCCAGGCGCCCAGGATGTCCCAGTGGCCGCAGCGGGGACCCAGCAGGAGCCCGCAGGCCTCGGGCGGGCGCAGCACGGAGCGAGCCCAGGCGGCCACCACGTCGCCCTGGAAGAGCTGCACGGCCTGGCGGCACACGGGCGGCCGCGCCAGCCGCAGCTCCTGGCACAGCCGCGACGCCACGCGCCCCACGCGCGCCACGTTCGGCTCCAGCTGCAGGGGATGGACACTGGGGATCGGCCCGGCACCCCGACCTCCGGACAGCCCCGCCGGCCTCCCCCTCTGCTGCCCAGGACACACCCTGCACACCGAACCCAGCTGCTGTCACTGGCCTGTGCCCGTCAGCACCCTCGGAATGGGCACGGCACCCCCGGGATGGGCACAGCATCCCCGGGATGGGCACGGCACCCCCAGGATGGGCACTGCACCCCCGGGATGGGCACTGCACCCCCGGGATGGGCACGGCACCCCCGGGATGGGCACGGCACCCCCGGGATGGGAACGGCACCCCCGGGATGGGAACGGCAGCCCGGCTGCCATCTCTGTACCCCCGGCTCTGTCACTGTCCCACACCCGCCAGCCATCCCGGCCCACTCAGCTGGACATCCCGAGGCCAGAAGGATCCACACGTTCCCCCAGCCCCTCTGGTCCCCAGCCCGGTCCCCTCCTCCCTCCCTTCCCGTCCCCGCCCCAGCCCGTCCCTGGCCCGGTTCCTGTTCCCGTCCCAGCCGGTCCCCGTGGCCCCGCCCGTCCCTGTCCCCATTCCCGACCCGGTCTCGTGTCTGTCACAAGCCCCGACCTGTCCTGGCCTGCCCCGGCCCGTCACGAGGGACTGGCCCGGCCTGTCCCGTTCCTGTCCCGTTCCTGTCCCGCCCCTGTCCCGTCCCTGGCCCGTTCCTGTCCCGTCCCTGTCCCGTCCCTGTCCCTGTCCCGTCCCCTCTGTCCCCGCTCCTGTCGCCCCGCTCCCCCCGTCCCGGTGTCCCGGTGTCCTCCCATGCCGTGCGTGGCCCGGTGTTCCGGTGCCCCGTGCCCACCTGCAGCGCCAGGTCCAGCGCCCCGAAGAGCACCCGGCAGGCCGGGCACGACACGTTCCGCCAGCCCCAGCGCGGCGCCGCCGCCGCCAGCTGCTGCTCGGGGCCGGGCGGCGACCCCGCCGACACCGGCAGCGCCAGCAGCGCCAGCGCGGCCAGGGCCAGCGGCAGCGGCAAGGACGGCAGGGCTGGCGGCGGTGACAGCGGTGACAGCGGTGACAGCAGCAGCGGGGCCCGAGCCCCGGCCGCCATGGCCGAGAGGGGCGGGGCCGGCTCGGGGGCGGGGCCGGGCGCCGCCATTTATGGGCGAGGGGCGGAGCAAGGCCGCAAAGGGGGAGGGCAAGGTCGGGGACAGTGCCCGCCCCCGGCGCCATGGCCGAGAGGGGCGGGGGCGTGGCCGCCAGGGGGGCGTGGCCAGTGTCAGAGGCGCTGAGGCGTGGCCACCCGGGGCGGGGAGCCGTATGCAAATGAAGGCGCCGGGCCTATGTAAGGCCGCGGTGCACGCTGGGAGATGGAGTCTTGGGCCGGCGGCGTTCCCCGGGGACCCCTCCCCTGCGTGCGGTCACCCCCCCGTACGGTCACCCCCGTGTGGTCACCCCCCCCGTACGGTCACCCCCGTGTGGTCACCCCCCCGGGGCGGCACTGGGTGCACGGGACCGGGGGTTCCTTCCCCCCAGCTGCCGCCGCCGCCGCCGGGCTCAGCAGCTCCCGCCGCGGAGGGTCCCAGCCCGCAGCCCCCGAGCCTCGCGCGGTGCTGACCCCTGGTCCCGCCCGGTTCTGCCCCGCGGAGCCTCCGTGCCGGCGGGCAGGAGCGCTGGGAGCAGCGGCGCAGCTGGGCACGGGGTCAGTTTATTGTGACCGTAGCCGGGGAGCAGCGCGGGGAGACCCCGGGCTGGGCTGCTGGGCTGCCCCGACCTCCCTCAGCCTCGCACCTGCCCGGCCCAGGGCTCCTCCCGCCCGCTCCTGGCCGCCACCCAGCCGGGGCTCGGGATGGAGCGGGGGTGCTGGCCCAGGGGGTCCCGGGAGGGTGGGTGGCTGGGGGTGCATCGGGGCGGGGCACAGCGGTGCTGGCAGGCCAGGGGTTCATGCTCGGGGGGTCCTGCTGGGGGTGTCCAGCTCGGGGGGGCCGGGCGCTGGTGTTGGGGGGCCCAAGGGGGGCTGGCTCAGGGGTCCCAGGCTGCTGAGGAAGGTGTAGCTGAGCTCGGACAGAAAGGTGCTGGCCGCGGGGGCTCGGGGGGTCCCGCTCGGGGGTGGGCTCAGGGGGGCCCCAGGCTGCTGACGGTGGTGTAGCTGAACTTGGAGAGCGAGGCGCTGGCCATGGGGGGCTCGTCCTCGGGCGGGCGGCGGGGGCAGGCGCGGCGGCAGCCCCGGCCGGCGCAGGTGGCCCCGAAGGCCTTGCGGAAGCGGCGGTTCATGAAGCAGTAGATGAGGGGGTTGGCGCAGGCCGACGTGTAGGACAGCAGGTGGATGAAGGCGATGGGGGTGCCCGAGAGCGCCCGCTGGGCTGCCCGCGGGGCGAAGGCACGCCAGGTGTTGGCGGCGAAGATGGGCAGCCAGCAGAGGAAGAACATGGCCACGATGACCACCAGCATGCGGATCACTCGCCGCTTGGCCGCCAGCTGCGCCCCCGAGCTGTTGATGCGAGCCCGGTCCTGCTGCGCGGCCGCCCCCAGCGCCCGCAGCTCCAGAGCCGCGCCCGGACGCGACAGCTGCAGGTAGCACCCGTCACCCTCGTCGCAGGCGGGGTCCCCCCCAGTGCCACGCGTGGCTGCGGAGTGAGGAGGCATGGTCACGGGCACGGCGCCCCAGCGCCGCGGGACCACCCTCCAGGGGGAAGGGAGGGCGTGCGGGGGACGTGGAAATGGCACCGTGGGGACGTGCTGCACCCCGAGGCTACAAGGAGGTCCCCGGGAAAGGGGGGTGTCCCCGAGGAGCACACCACTGTGGGGGCAGGGATGAAGGCTCGGCCCTGCCCCTCCTGCTGGGGTGGGCGCTCTGCCCCCACAGGCATCACCCCCGGTGTCACCCCCGCCCCATCCCCTCACCTGCCACCTCCCCCTTGACGTCCAGCTCGAAGCGGATGCCCCGGTAGAGCTCGCGGGAGATGAGCCCGTAGGCCACCGTCATCACCACGCCCGGGATGAAGAACAGCACGAGGAGCAGCAGCACGTACCTGGGACAGGTGGCCCGCGTCACCCGGCGTCCCCGCGGGGCCGCGTCCCCCCTCCCTGCCGGCACTCACCAGACCTGCCGGACGCGCTCGCTGGGCCAGTGGTGGGTGCACTGCGCGGGGGGCGGGCGGGGGGCGGCGGGCCGCGTGGTGCTGTACACGGCGTAGGGCAGCATCAGCAGCGCCGCCAGCGCCCAGGTGCCCGCGATGACGCGGCACGCGTGGGACCGCGTCTGCCAGGCGCGCGACTGCAGCGGGTTGCAGATGGCACTGTAGCGCTCGATGGCGATGGCCACCAGGCTGAAGGTGGACACGGCCACCGAGACCCCTGCGGGCAGCGGGGGGGGTGTCGGTGGGTGCGGTGTCACCTCCTGCTGGAGCCCCCCGCTGTACTCCGTGCACCCACGAGGTAGGGATAACACCCCCGCGTGTCCACGGGGCAGGGACGAGCCCCCTCCCTGTGCCCCCAGGTACCCACAAGGCAGGGATGAGCCCCCCCTGCCGTGCCTCACCCCAGGCACGAGAGGGGACCAGCCCCCGTGTGCCCCACCCTTGAGAGGGGACAAGCCCCCGTGTGCCCCAGCCATGAGAGGGGACAAGTCCCCATGTGCCCCCCCCTCCCCATGAGAGGGGACCAGCCCCCGTGTGCCCCACCCTTGAGAGGGGACAAGCCCCCGTGTGTCCCAGCCATGAGAGGGGACAAGCCCCCGTGTGCCCGACCCTTGAGAGGGGACAAGCCCCCGTGTACCCCACCCCACCCATGAGAGGGGACCAGCCCCCGTGTGCCCCACCCTTGAAAGGGGACCAGTCCCCGTGTGCCCCATCCATGAGAGGGGACCAGCCCCCGTGTGCCCCACCCTTGAGAGGGGACAAGCCCCCGTGTGCCCCACCCATGAGAGGGGACAAGCCCCCGTGTGCCCCACCCTACCCATGAGGTAGGCCACGAGCTTGCAGACGACGTCGCCGAAGATGAAGGCGCCCATGAGGCCGGGCAGCAGGGTGAAGGGCATGCAGCACAGCGCCAGGAGCAGGTCACTCAGGGCCAGCGACAGCAGGAAGCAGTTGGTGACGGTGCGCAGCCGCCGGTTCAGCGCCAGCACGGCCACCACCAGCGCGTTGCCCCCCACGCTCAGCGCGAAGATCAGCACGTAGAGCACCACCCGCACCGCCACGTCCAGCTCTGCGGGCAGCGGGGCACGGCGCTGCACTGGCACCCCGGGGCACCCCGCAGGCACCCAGCTGGCACCCTAGAGGCACTCTGAAAGCACTCCCGAGGCCGCCGCAGAGACACTTCCATGGCACCCCGAGGGTAGCCCGGTGGTCCCCCCGACAGGCTCTGAAGGCACCCAAAGGCGCCCCAGCACAGGCCCAGGCGCTGGGACGCCGGGGCTCCGACGTGAGCGGGCTCGGTGGAGACCCATCAGGTGAGTGCATCGTTTCCCCACCGTGTGGCAGCCGCGGGGATTCGGGGTGAGCCCCACGCCCCTCGGCTCAATTCCGTGAGGCTGAGGGACCCTCATCCAGCTGGGTGACCCCATCCCGCCCACCCTCCGCCTCGGTGCTGAGCCTCGGCTCCCCCGGCGCGCGGGGACCGGGAACGTCCTGCCCGGAGAGCGGAGTGACAAGCCGGAGCAGGGGCCCCAGCCGGGGGGTGGGATGGGGTGGTCCCAGCCGAGGGTCCAGCGGGAGGTCCCGGCCCCGGCAGTGGAGCAGGGGTTACGGGCGGGCGCTGTCTGTGTCCGCGGCGTCCCTGTCGGAGTCCCCTCCGCCCTCCTGCTGCCACCGGCACAGCCCGGCGTGCTCCCCCCGGCAGCGCCAGATCCGCACCGGAACCCCCGGGCAGCGCCGGGGCCACCGAGCCCGCGGCCGGGGCGCGGGGATCGGGGATGGTGGGTGCCTGCTGCTGAGGGGCACGGCGGGGACGGGGCGGCACCGGTCGGGGAGCGGGAGAACCGGAGCGCGGGGCGGCGGGCACCGGGGCGGCACGGCGGGACGGAGCGCGGGGAGCGCAGGGCCGGGCACGGAGGGGGGGTCCCCTCCCGGGTCCATCCCGCTCCTTCCCCCCGCCCCCGCTCTCACCTCTGGGCGCCGGGGGCCCGCGGAGGCCCCTGCGGAGGAGGTCGCAGAGCGAGCCGTTGGTCCCGTTGCCGGTGCCGGTGCCCGGTCCGTTCCCGGTGCCGTTCCCGGAGCGGCAGAGCATCTCCTGCAGCGACACGTTGAGGGGCCGGGGGTCCATGGCGGGGACCCCCCCGCCTGCCCCCGCCCTTCCTCCGGCAGGAGGCACCGGGAAGGATCAGGCACCGGGAGGCTCCGGCAGGGACGAGGCTCCGATCCGCTCGGAGCCGCCGGTGGATAGGCGGGGGCGGCGCCCGGCGCGGGGCGGGCCGGGG